ACGTGATGGTACCCCAGAGAATTGATTGTTTCCTATGCACGTGCATCCACGTGCATATGTATGCGTAATTTATGAAACGGCCAAAGGCAAATTCGCTGGAGAACATAGGACAATTGCATGATGACGTCATTCTACTACATACACCTACCAGAATCCTTTAGGTCTTTCAGTTGTTGTTTTCTTGTGCAAATTAGGGCTATTGTGTTTTAAAATTTAGCGGGATTCAATAAGAAAGCAAAAAAGAAATGAATTCTGGTACTTGTAGTCAAATTTTGTTTACTCACCGTCAAAAATGACCTATTGGGAAAACAAAACATAAAAAGGTGTATCCCCCGGGATCACATGAGTTCACACAACACAATAAACAAAAAATAGACAAGTGCGTAATTGTAACACGACTCCTGACAAACAAGAAAGCGGGTTTCCGCTTGCACTTTAGATCGATAGGTCCTGCTCGCCTTGTCTAGTATAAATCTTTGTTGGAAGGGTTGTGATTTTGTCCACAGAATTCACCAAAATCTGTGAACCATTTCCATTTTGTTGAATCGAAGATGAAGTGGGCTTTTCTCCTTGTTCTTATTGTAGTCAATTCTTCCAACGGTGGATTCATCCCCTTCAAACGAATCCGGTCCAGCGAAAGCCCTGATGTCGGAAGGAATGTGGTAAGTGATCTCTCACTCTGTTGGTTTTTACATTGCATTGGACTAGAGTTTCGTTTGCGGAATTAATGGTGTATGTGGGACAATTCCTTCGAGATTAAACTGTACATGTTGCTAACACTGGGTGCATTGAAATGTACTCTTTACGTCGATGGACCAACAATTTTTTTCACGCCGTTCCTGGAAGACACACGCAATCTTTCCTTATAAATCTTTCAGCTTTTCTCTAATAAAATGAACGCAGCGGCGTTCCATTGTATCTTTCGGCAAAACACTGATAGACACTGAATGAGTATATAATGAAATATCTGCTAGAATTCAACATACTAGTGTGTAAGAATCACATGATTTGTTGACACCGATGCATACTGTGATGAGTGTGTGTGGCGCAACATATCATACCGAAGATGACGCAGCATTAAACATTACGTATTGCAATTCTTTTAATACTCCATAGGCCGCACAGAATCAGTTAAAAGAAGTCGATTTACAAGACAAGGATTTTTGTTGTTTTTATTCCCACCTTTTCGGTTACGTAACTATATTAAAGAGGGAGTTGAAGTGGTTATCCTGCTGAATGGCTGCGTGACTAAGAGAACTGAGGCGCGCGTACCTGAACCTCCCTCATCCCCGCCCCCTTCAATCCTTTTGATCTTGAATACGTCCGTACTCCGTACCCGCCACATAGATCCGAAAACAAAAGACTTGTCAGGCAGTAGCTCAAGGCGAGAATGCTGATAAGACATTTTATTCTGATTTTTATATC